GACCCGGGGCGGTGAGTAGGGGCGGAGGACGCGGAGTCAGTCCTCTTGGCCCGGGCAGGGCACGGAGCCCAAAGCTAGGCCCCTCCGCTTGCCATCTGGGTGCCTTTAAGCAGTTACGTTTCTTTGCTTCTCTTTTCTTGTCCGTGAAATGGGGGTGATGCTGGGACCTACTTTACAGGACTATTGTGAAGATTTGATGATAGGCGTACAGGACTTAGGACCTTGAAATGGCCTATAAATGTTATCTTGTGTTTCTTTGCTCATCGTGCGATGTAGGGCGGGGGAACGCCCTGAGCCTGGACTCTCCTCCTTCTCAGGTCAATTTGGAGTGGCCCCTGGAGTCAGTCTCCTACACCATCCGAGGCCCCACCCAGCACGAGCTGCAGCCTCCGCCAGGAGGACCTGGAACCCTCAGCCTGCACTTCCTCAACCCTCAGGAAGCTCAGCGGTGGGCAGTCCTAGTCCGAGGTGCCACCGTGGAAGGACAGAATGGTCAGTGCCCTGTAATGGATACTCATTTGGAATAGCCTTGGCCCCCCAGTCCTGGTTGGGGAAGTTGGATCCACCTTCCAACTTGGAGTACTTGGAGTGGCTCCTGGAGTCAGTCTCCTGCACCATCTGAGGGCCCAGCGAGTACGAGCTGCAGCCTCCACCAGGAAGCCCTGGAACCTCAGCCTGCACTTCCTTAACCCTCAGGAAACATGAGAGGCAAGCATGAAGAGGCGGAGCAGGCAGGGTCAGGACCTGTGTGAGAAGACATCATCCCAAGAGCAGCAGGAGGGTGACAGGAGTGGGAGAGTGACAGACTCAGATACCTGCTGCCTAAGACTGAGAGTTCTGCAGTGGCAAGGGTTGTGCAGATAGGGCTGGGGAGAAGGGTGTTTCCAGAGATGCTTAGAAGATGGAATTAGTGGCCGGGTGGGGTGGCTCACGCCTGTAATCCCAGCACTTTGGGAGGCCGAAGTGGGTGGTTCACCTGAGGTCAGGAGTTCGAGACCAGCCTGGTCAACATGGTGAAACCAAACTCTGTCTCTACTAAAAATACAAAAATTAGCCAGGCATGGTGGCGTGCACCTGTAGTCCCAGCTAATTGGGGAGGCTGAGGCAGGAGAATCACTTGAACCTGGAGGCAAAGGTTGCAGTGAGCTGAGATCGTGCCGCTGCACTCCAGCCTGGTGACAGAGGGAGGACTCTGTCTCAAAAAAAAAAAAAAAAAAGATGGAATTAGCTGAGTTTCATGGTTGCTTGGGAGGTTTTCTGCAGACAAAGCCTCCCTCTATCACCCAGAATGGAGTGCAGTAGTGTGATCCTAACTCACTGGAGCCTTGAACTCCTGGGCTCAGGTGATCCTCCTGCTTCAGCCTAAGTAGCTGAGGTTATAGGCGTGAGCCACTGCCCATGGTTGCTTAAATGGAAGAGTTAGCTGTTGAGACTGAGAAACATGAAGGACTAGGTAGTATGGGGCTCCCAGAGAGAGGGCAGCCCACAAACAGATAAGCAGAGCTGCCAGAGGGGTCGGAAGACAGCCAGACAGGGATGTAAGAGAGGCTCAAGCAACTCAGTGTTTAGAAAGGAGCTAGGCTCTCTTTAGTCATTCACCAAGCATATGTATTCAGCAGCTGCTCTGTCCCAGGTACTCCTCTGGCATGAACAAAACTTCCAATCCCTATCCCATTGGAGCTTGCATTTTTAGAGGGGAGGAGGCAGACATATAAAATAAGTACAGGGCTGGGCAACATACCAAACATTTAAAAATATAGCTGAGTGGGCCGGGCGCGGTAGCTCACGCCTGTAATCACAGCACTTTGGGAGGCCAATGTGGGCAGATCATGAGGTCAGGAGATCAAGACCATCCTGGCTAACACGGTGAAACCCCATCTCTACTAAAAATACAAAAAAAAAAAAAAAAAAAAAAATTAGCCAGGCATGGTGGTGGCAGAGACCTGTAGTCCCAGTTACTCAGGAGGCTGAGGCAGAAGAATGGCATGAACCTGGGAGGTGGAGCTTGCAGTTAGCCGAGATCTCACCACTGCACTCCAGCCTGGGCGAGAGCTAGACTCCGTCTCACAAAAAAAAAAAAAAAAAAAATTAGCTGCAGTAAACTGTGATCATGCCACTGCACTCCAGCCTGGGTGACAGAGTGAGATCCTGTCTCCAAAAAAAAAATAATAATAATAATAATAAAATTACCGTAGAGTTTTTTTAAAAAAGTCTGTTAGATGGTGTGGGACTGGGAATGGTGGAGCTGGGAGGATTGCTTTTTAAAACGGTGGCAGGGGCACAGTGGCTCATGCCTGTAATTCCGGCACTTTGGGAAGCCGAGGCAGGTAGATCACTGGAGGTCGGGAGTTAAAGACCAGTCTGACCAACATGGAGAAATCCTGTCTCTACTAAAAATACAAAATTAGCCGGGTGTGGTGGTGCGTGCCTGTAATCCTAGCTACCCGGGAGGGTGAGGCAGGAGAATCGCCTGAACCCAGGAGGCAGAGGTTGCGGTGAGCCGAGATCACACCATTGCACTCCAGCCTGGGCCACAAGTGAAACTCCGTCTCAAAATAAAAACAAAAACAAAAAAAACGGTGGCAGGGGAAGGCCTCATTGAGGCAACACTGGAATGAAATGTGAAGGTCATGGCATGAACCATGTGACCAAGGAAGCAGCAAACAAACCCTGAGGTGAGCATGTGCAGGTGATCCTTGCGGCTCACTGGGTGCCAGGACCGAACAGCGCTGGGTGCATGGAAGGCCCTGCTTATCCTAGTAGGGAGACAGTATGAATACAGTGGGCCTGGGATCATCACAGGAGCTGTGTTAGCACTGGGTGGGGACCCCCCATTGCAGTGGGCTGGGCCCCACACGGGGGTGGGGGTAAGAAGGGGAGTCAGCAGGGTGCCCAGCTCTGAAGACGCCCAGGGCAGTGGCTTGTCTGGAGTGCTGGCAGCCCAAGTGTGGGTCAGGGAGTCCGGAGAGGGGAGGTCTCCAAGGGCTCCAAGAGGCCACCCAGACTGCAGGGCCACTGAGGGCCTGCTTTGGTTCTGCTGTGAGGCATCCCTGGCTGGCAGAAAGGGCCAAGAAAGGTGGCCTGGCCAGGCACCAAAGGGTTTGAAAGGGCTCTAATTCCCAAAAATGAACTAAGTGCAGCTCCAGCACTAACAGAAGTCTGGCAGGGGCCTCTGAGGGGCTTGCCAGAGCTAAGGCTGGGAGAAGGTGTGGCTTGAAGTGTGGCCTGAGGCAGGACCCTGGCATGGGCTGAGGTGAGGGAGAAGGCAAAGGTCCTGGAAAACCAAGGGCCCAGAGGCCTGGACAGAGGCCACAGCATAGCCCACCCATATCTTACCTGTAGGCAGCAGCAGCAGCAGCAGCAGCTCACCACCAGCCCTGGGCCCAGAAGCATGCCCCGTCTCCCTGCCCAGTCCCCCGGAAGTCCCCACACCTGAGGCAGATCTTCCTAGGAGCCCTGGAAACTTGATGGAGAGAGGTACAGGTGTGGAGGGGGGTGTTGGGGGATAGCAGACAGTCCCCAGTGGTGACAGCTGTCCTTTCCTTGCCCTACAGAAGAGCTGGCAGGGAATCTGGCCCGGGCCATTGCAGGTGGAGACGAGAAGGGGGCAGCCCAAGCGGCAGCCATCCTGGCCCAGCATCGTGTGGCCCTCAGCGTTCAGCTTCAGGAGGCCTGCTTCCCACCTGGCCCCATCAGGTGAGGCCTGGGGCTTCTTCCTCACCTTGTCCTTGTGACCCTCCCAGGTCCTCCATCCATCCCTCAACCCACATTCTGGCACAGGCTGCAGGTCACACTTGAAGACGCTGCCTCTGCCGCATCCACCGCGTCCTCTGCGCACGTTGCCCTGCAGGTCCACCCCCACTGCACCGTTGCAGCTCTCCAGGAGCAGGTGGGCACAGGGTCTAGGGAGCTCTGCCAGGGGGCAGGGGAGCCTAGGTGACATCATCTGCCCTGATTGCTCTGGCCGCAGGTGTTCTCAGAGCTCGGTTTCCCACCAGCTGTGCAACGCTGGGTCATTGGGCGGTGCCTGTGTGTGCCTGAGCGCAGCCTTGCCTCCTATGGAGTTCGGCAGGATGGGGACCCTGCTTTCCTCTACTTGCTGTCAGCTCCTCGAGAAGCCCCAGGTCAGTCCTCGATGGGGGTGGGGTGTGGGAGGTGGGGTGCAGCCCGCCAGTCCTGAGCTCCATCCCCTCAGCTACAGGACCTAGCCCTCAGCGCCCCCAGAAGATGGACGGGGAACTTGGACGCTTGTTTCCCCCATCATTGGGGCTACCCCCAGGCCCCCAGCCAGCTGCCTCCAGCCTGCCCAGTCCTCTCCAGGTGGGCACGGGACTGGGCAGGGTGGGTCAGGACAGCCATGGGCATTGGAAAGAGCAGGGAAGCAACAACTGTCTCTCTTCCCCCAGCCCAGCTGGCCCTGCCCTTCCTGCACCTTCATCAATGCCCCAAGCCGCCCTGGCTGTGAGATGTGTAGCACCCAGAGGCCCTGCACTTGGGATCCCCTTGCCGCAGCTTCCACCTAGCAGCCACCAGAGGTACCAGAGGTGGCTCAGGCAGGGGAGGTGGGGGCAAGGCAGAACCTACAGGAATGACCCAGCTCCACCCCCACAGGTTACAAGGGGAGAGTGGCCCTTCCCTCATAGGCCCGACGTCTCCAGGTCCCCGCCAAACTCAGGGGACCTCTACTGACTGCTTGCTGGGACAGAGTCACCAGGGTTGGGGGAAGGGCCACAAACTGAAACCATTAAAGACACTTACAAGCCAGCAAGTGTCCCTTTCGTGGTATCTCTGCAGACCTGCCCCAACCTAGCCAGCACTACAGAGAGACACCCTCATCAGCAGGTGGGGCTCCCCCAGCCAGACCCCAGTGGTACCGAAGAGTGGACCTGGACCCTAAGCCTCAGTGGTCAGGAAAGCATGGCATGGGGATCTCTTCCCAGACTCCAGAGGCCTACAGAGCCCCCCACCCAGCTGCTCACCACTGGGCTGAGGCTGCTGGGGTGTGCCACACACTGAGCCGCAGCCCCCACCACTGACCTTGTCTCCTGTCTACCCTGGTCCCCCAGGCCTGCGCCTCTCCTGCCTGCAGCCCTATTGGCACCACCTTTCTCCCATTCAGCTCTTGCCTTCCCTGGACTCTGGCCACCACTCCCCTCAGCTCTTGCAGCTAGGATACCAGCAATGAAAACGGGTGTTTTCCTTCCCCTCCTAGGGACGAGGGAAGCTCAGGAGCTAAGTCCTACACCAGGTCACTGGGCCAGTGCTGGGTCATGTCTCTGTGGCCCTCCTAGATAGCATCCACTGTCTCCCTCCCTCAGCAGCATGCTCCTATGGGAACCCAGCCACTGCCAGCTTCTGGCCAGGACCGACCACCCAGCTGCCCTGTGGACTGCTAGGAGGGGCCACTCCATGACACACATCCTGCCCGTCTACTTGACCCCTTCACCTGGCTGGGAGCTATCCCCTTCCTCTCAGCCCAGTCCAGCAATAGCCCCTGCCCTAGACCAGGCCTTTTCCCTGTTGAAATGCTGCCGAGGTTCCCTGCTGCCATCAGAATGGGGCCAAGTGGTTCAACACCTTGACACTTGGCTGTACATTTCAACAGGTCCCTGGGCCACATCCTGCCTAGCCAGGCCCTTTTCAGCTCTGTGCCCAGACACACCCCATCCCACCCCACCAAATGCTGCCACTTCCTCTAACATCCAGTTGTCTGCTTTCTGTTCCACACCCACCGTCTGCACTCCCAGCTACCAGATAGTGCAGGGCATTGCTGGCCACACTGAATGGGACATCCTGGGAGCCTTGTGAAGGCAAGGGTCTTGGTATCAGAGTCCCTTGCAAACCTGCACTCCTTCCATATAATAGCTCAAATATGACAGTTCAAATATGTACATTGAGAAACTTAATTTATTCCCATGATGGGGGCTGAAGGAGGGCCCAGAGCTAGGGCCTGGTCTCCTGTCCCCTTGCCTCTTTTTCCAGACAAACAGGGGTTAGCCAGCTGAGGCTGAACAGGCCTGGGATGGCTCTTGGGCTTGAGGGCCTGTTCTGGCAGGATGGCAAGCAGACACTGGACAGGGTCACTTGGGCGGCCGATACGCCAGCTTCCGACTCTTCAGGACTGACCACTTGTGCCGCTTCATGATGAAGATCAGGGGCACTAGCAGAGCCGCTATCATCAACATCTGGGGACGAGGAAGGCTCAGAGAAGGGAGTGGGGAGGAGCCCTGCCCAGCTCTCAGCCCTTCTCTGATACCCACCATGGCCTTCTCCCAACCCTTTTACCTTGAGCCCCATGCGTTTTCGATGGTCGTGCTCTGGCTCAGATGCCCAGCGCAGGAAGGTGCACACGTCCTTCGCTATCTGGGACATGGTAGCTGGGGTGCCTGGCCAAGGACAAGCAATGAGGGCTATTCTCACACTCATGTCCAACCTGGGATAACACACCCCCTCTGTGGAGCAGACACGGGCCCCTACCCAAGGCATCAAAGGCACAGTACCCTCCACCGGACATACGCAAGACTGAAGGACTGAAGGAGCCCAAAAGCCTCCTGAGATATGCACAGAAGACACCCCAGACAAGAAGTGGGCAGGACCTCCTGGGCCCAGGAACACAGGGGAAGCATCCCCGGGGGTAGTGGAGAAGTATTCAACATGCTCACTGCCAGACTGGAGGCCTCTTACCATCGTCAAACTCCAGGACATCTGTGTAGATGGGAGGGGCCATGGCAATGGCCTGGCCAGGAAAGTAGGGGTTGAAGTAGAGACCTTCCCGAAGTGACACCCCGGCGGGTGGCTCGCAGTAGCCCGTGAGCAGGGAGAAGATGTAGTCCTCACCACCATGCCTAGGACCAGATCCATGGCTCCTTAGTCCCAAGCACAAGTCAGCCCTTCCCCCACCTCTCCGGCACCACCCCGTGGGCAGCCCGTGTACCTAGCTCGCACGATGTAGCTGAGGTCAGGAGGCAATGCTCCGTTGTTGGCAGCTCGAGCAGCCTCAGTGTTGGGGTATGGTTTTGGGAAATAATCGAATAGTTTCCCTGGCCGCATGAACATCTCCCCGTTTTCATTGGGGCCATCTTCAACCTCCACCTGCCACCGAGAGCCTCATCACAACCCTACCATCTCACCACAGTGGGAGCCCTGAGCCCTGGGTCCCAGGCATCCCCAGACCCCACACCTCCGCAGCCAGCGCCTTAGCTTCATCCTCCGTGTAGCACACGCCCACCAGGTGTCGGTAAGCCACGAAGTCCATGCTGTGGCAGGAGGAGCACACCTGCTTATATACCTGGAAGCCCCTCCGGATGCTGGAGGGAGGGAAAGGGTTAGGAACGCTGAAGATTCCACCTCACCAGCTCCACCCAGAACCTCCCCCTGCCAGTCAGCCAGCCAGCTGCATACCTGGTGTGGTCCAAGGAAGAGAGGAAGCCACTGTGAGACCACGGATAACTGGGGGGGTGCAGGTCCAGGTCACTGGCACTCACAGCCGAATGTAGAGCCACAGCCAGCCCCGCACCCCCTGCCGCCAGCATGCCCAGCGCTGACAGCATCACCTTTCGGCCTCGGGAAAGGCCAGACTTCGACGACAAGGCCACTGCCTGCAAGATCTCCGCTCAGCGCCTGCCAGGACACCACCCAGCCCTACCTGGGGATCTGACTCTCAGCGGCCACCTCTCCACCCAGCAACGGCCACCTCCTGCAGGGCACCAGACGCACACCCTGTCCCACTACCCACGCCATCCCTCTCCGCCGCTGACCCCTAGATCGTGATTCGCTCTCAGGAGGGGGGTGTTCCTGCATCCTCAGCCGGGGATCAGACCGAAGTGACCAAGGGTGCTGGGGCAGGCCAAGGTCACAAGCAGCTGGCCGAGGTCAGGCTGGGGTCACTTCAGGACGCGGGCCCAGTTTGGACAGCCAGTCCCAAGAGTCGTCCTGGGCGCGCCATCCGGGAAAGCCCCCGCCCCGCCACGAAAGCGAGCCCGTCCAGCCGACCCCCACGCTCGGGACGGGG